GTTATAGGAACTGACGACCCCCATGACCTTGTAGGATTGTCGTCGGCTCACCGAACCGTGAAGAAGGAAGGAAGACGGCCAGGATTGAGAGGCGGGAAGCGACCGCTGCGGATGGATTGACCGGGGCGCACGACAGTCTGTCCCCCGGGTAGCATGTAGGTGATACCGTTTACTATTTCGCCCTTTATTATACTGCGAGACACCTCTTATCGCATCCAATTTCAGGTGCAAGGCGGAATGATAGTGAGGACCGCGAATAGGGGTACCCCAACGACGGCGAGAGCCCCGGGAAGGTGCCTCGAGGCCTCGAGGCAGCCCGAAGAGATCCTGCGGCCCCTTAAATTTCGCGCGCCATGACACGAGACATGGGCATGACGCGGCTCACGCGATTAGCGGAGCCGCGGGGCCACGCGCCAATGAGGCGCGATAGAGCCCCCTCACGGGGATAACGAGCCTTGCGTGCTTCCGGGAGAATCAGCGCCCGGCACTTGTGCTGTGGCCAGCTTAGAGAGCGAACTATCGGAAGGACGCAGGACGGATCTATCGAAAGGGTTAAGGAGCGAGCTAATCGAGAGACAATCGGGACGAGCATCAGCAGGAGGTCACGGTGAGGCGAGCATCACAGTTTGTAAGGTCGCCGGTTTCCCAGTCCGGGAGGTGCAATATTATCGTTGTCGGACCTATCGTAGTGAACGCACATGGCATTGCCGTGAGCTTCGGATCAGAACGTGCCGCCTTCTAGGACGGTTAATAAGAGTTTCGGAAAATTCTTTTCTGCGTCCGCCTAGGCTATAGCCTCGTCACTTACCGTGAAGTTTTGTCGCGTGCCGCATTATTGTATTGTATCGTATCGAAATTTTGTACCATAATATTAGCGTGTATCTTGTCGTATCGGCGCTCTGTATCATAGTATTTGCGCGTGTTCTATCGTATTGAAATTGTGTAGCGTCAAATTTGTATTCTGTCCTTCTCTGATTTTCGGTAGAGCGGTGCGAAGCCCTGCGAACGAGCACGAGGTCACGCCGTGTTCACGTTACAATCTTACCGTATCCTATTGCGCCGTTTTGAGGCGGCGAATTATTGTTCGCATGATTCGCGAAAAATATCCTTATGGCGTGAACTCAAGCCGCCGAGATCTAACGGAATTGATACGCACCATGTAAAGCATATCTGGGCCTGTGCGAGGCTCAGTTACTGCGTTTGATCGAATCTTATCGCCACGATCTTATCGGTAGATACGAACGAAACTCGCGGACTTATTAAATATACAGGGTGGGCCATCTATTGGTACGTTTTTAAAAATGCGATCAAATGAGCATACATTGATATTTTTTATTAATTTTTTTTTTGTTGTGAAGCTAAAAGTATCCGCGTCAAGAATGAAAAACGATTTCGTTCATGTGGCTCCCTCTACTGGCCTTACAGTATGCCATTCGGTCACCCCAATTATTAATGACATTTTGGAAAACGTACCAATAGATGGCCCACCCTTTAGTTGTTATTCTTTCTATTATTAATTCTTGTGTGCTTTATTGTCGTCACCATTCGCTTCTCCAAACGATCCCCTATCTTCAATCACGAACCGCCCACTCTGCCATTTCCGAGGCTGAGCTACCGGTTCCGAGCCCGTCGGCGTTCATAGCATATTCTAATTCCGGAACATACCGCCTGCCTCAAATATAAGTATTCGAAACAATTCACATTAAAGCATGCAAAATACAGGAATGGTATTACGACGAAAATGGTTTAACACAAAGTACAAAATTGTGACGCATACAATACAATTAAAAATTAAGGTTTCGCGATATCGATAACATCAAGTACGTTTACCGGAAATCCGCCCATGACGGAATCTTTAGACTCCTTGGAATTGATCGTAACGGGTAGAAAACAAAGTTTCGCAATCAGTCACTTATACTCGGAACGCCCTCTTTTTACAGTGACGATGCGAGTTAAATCATCATCGCCGGGATGACACGTCGTAATTCGGCCAAGTTTCCATTGACTCGGTGGAGCCAGAGGGTTATGCACGAGGACGATTTAGCCTATTTTAGCCAGTCACTGGGACAACGCGCCACTTTGGGCGTTGTTGAAGGGTATGCAAGTAATCACCGGACCAAGACCTCCAAAAATAACCTTCGGTTATGTGTTGAACCATTTGCCAACCAAAAGTCGGTTTTCATTTAAGTCAAGTACGCTTAGTTCAGCGGGAGCGATAAGCGAGGTTCCTACTAAAAATCGGGAGTTAGCGCGTAATAATCGTCGAGATTATCGAAAAGGGAGCGATCGGACGCAAATTAAGGCACGCCTCGATTCGACAGAGCAGCATAGACATTTCCTCAAAAGTTAGCGTGTGAAGGCCGATACATCGTTTTAAACAATGCTTGACATTTTTAACACCGGCTTCTCATAGGCTGCTGAAGTGTGGCAAAGCGGGGGGGGGGGTAGGAAGTGCCACGCAGTTCTGTTGATTGTGAGTCAGTTGCGGAAGTTAAGATCTCGAATGTGCGTTTGACAGTTCGCGATCGGTGTCGTGAAACGTGATTCCGTTATCGGAGTACTTATGGACTAATTTATGGAGTAATTATGGACGTCGATAATTCTCGGCGAGAAACAAATCGTTGATACGCTGCTATAAAAGCAGGAGAAATGTAATTGCTGACGAACTTTAAATACAGAGCTTTAGTCGTAAGGCATACGAATAAAACAATATATCTTTTGTGATTTATACCTTCGACCGGGAGTCGTGCGGACAGCGATCGGATCTGCGTAATAGACGCCGATATGGACAAAGGCGCGAGCGGTACGGTTGACTCTCGCAGCCGGGAGGTCACCCATGAGTTCGATGGGCACGTCGGCGCGTTCACGCATGGTATGCACTTATAAAGAACGGATCGAACAGTAACGCGGGCCCGGAAAATTCAAAATTCGCGTCGCAATGACGCGAGCGTTAATTGAGAACCGCATGCAATCAGCATGCAACATTCTAAGATGATGGTGCTGGATAATGAATACCAACAGCGGGTGCGCGCGTAAAACGATGAGATTCTTCGTCACTTCTGGGAGATAAGCTCGACAAAGTCTTCCTCGAATTCGAATAAGTCCATCCTCGTCTATATAAGGATTGAGAACGGAGAACGGAGAGCTCTTCGATACCAGACGCTTTTGTTTTAGAGCCGCGATCTCATTAAAAAACATGTCTGACTGCATGATTTTGAGCTAGTAGCGTTTGGCGTTCTGAATATCTTCGGGGAGCAAAGTTGCGATATTCGTCTGCGAGTTTTTAAAACGTCGGAGTCGACTTAGAAAACGGTAAAGATACGCGGTAATTCGTAGCAATTTTGCCACGAAGAGTAACGCGACGCAAGATCCCACTGGAGAGTAGCGTGCAAGGCACACACCTGAGACTCCGGGCGTTGTTCGAGATGAATATCGGAGGATACTGAAGGACACGAGTTCGGCCAGGATTCAGGAGGATGATGTAGCCATGAAGGGCCTGACCACTATAAAGTGTGTGTCTTGAAAAGATCGGGAGCGAGATCGCGTGAAGCGCAGTCCGCGGGATTGGTGTGCGTCGGAACATGACGCCTAGAAACTCCAGGGAGGAGTGATTGGACAGCCGAAACACAATTGGAGACAAAAGTTTTCCATCGATAAGGTGATTGACTCAGTCAGCCGAGTGTAATAGTGGAGTCCGTCCAGCAGTGGCACTCGAGATTAGAGAGTTGGAGCGCTGAGCGCGCGAAATGCATCAAGCGTACGAAAAGTAACGCAGCGGATAACTTCAATCGCGGGACGCTGATCATTTTAAGAGAGGCCACTTTTAATAGTGAGACGGTGGTTGAGCCGTCTATATTGACGATACGAAGGTATACTGCTGCAGCGAAAACTGCAGTCGAGACGTCGGAAAACCCATGAAGGGCGCAGTGTAGAGTATGGGATCCGTAAGTAGTCCAGCGCGGAATGCTAATCGCGTTGAGATACGAAAGTCGTTGATGGTAATTAAACCAACAATCAAGAAGTTGGCTGGGAATGTCGTCATCCCACTGGCATTGGAGTGACCACAGTCGTTGCATAAAAATTTTAGCGGTAATACTGACGGGAGAAGCCTATCCTAGAGGATCAAAAAACTTGGTGAGGTTGACAAAATGACTCGTTTCGTTCTTGCGGGTGATGACGGTACAGTCACGCAGAATTGAAAAAGATCTAGCTTAGGATTCCACAGTATTCCTAAGACCTTAGAAAGGTGCTCATCGTCTTAAAGAACTTTGAGTAACTAAACCATGATCCGCGGGATCAAGATCGGACAACAGAGCGGTGGCGTTGCTTGCCCATTTTCGAAGGTGAAAACCTCCTTTCTTTAATAACTCTCTCAATTGATCGCGTGTTTGTCGAGCAAAAATTTGATCGTCTGCGTCGAAAGCGCAATCATCGACATATGTCTGATGACATAAAACGGGAACCGCAAGCGGAAATGCGGCACCTTCATCGTCTACGAGTTGATCTAGGACCCGAAGGACTAAGTAGGAAGCGGCGGCTGTGCCGTAGGTAACGGTAAGGAAACGGTAATCCGTGATTGGTTCGTCAGAAGTAAGTTGCCATACAATGCGCTGATAATCGGTGTCCCTGGAATCGACTAATATTTGCCGATACATTTTAGCGATATCAGCGGTGAATACGTAACGGTATTGGTGCCACTACATTATAACAGTGGCTAAATCCTTCTGGAGTTTAGGGACAACGATAATATGGTCGTTCAACGACGTTCCGTTTGAGGTGCGGCATGAAGCACTGAAGACCACTCGTAAGCGGGTGGTTGCACTGCTATCACATAAGACAACATGATGCGGAATGTAATAGTTTTGCTCTGATTTGATGATTTCCGTCGGTGGACTTTCGATTATATGACCGAGGGTTTCGTAATCTACGAGAAATTCGATATTTAGAAGCGTTAATTGAATCGCGAATTAAGCGTTGTTTCAAGCGTCGAAAACTCGAAACAGCGATAAAGCGCGATTCGCCTATCGAGATGGTCCGTTTTTAAACGGTAGTCGAACGATATAACGTCCTTCCGACGTACGGGAATGTGTGGCTTTGAAGTGCTCTTTGCACTGATGTTCTTCAGGGCTCCGCGGAGCTTCCTGAGGTACTTCCTCGATTTCCCAGAAGCAAAGTAGATCACGATCGAGAATCTCAATACTGACTTCGTGATGCGCAAACGCAGAAATTGACTCAGAGGTCGGAAACGAGGCTATTGGTCCAGACAGAATCCAGTCGAGAGTAGTATTTTGCGCGGTAGGCTCATGTTCGGAACCTTTTCGAACACCGTCGAGAACGAGCGTGCCGAATAGATCGATACCGATTATGATGTCGATCGGATTCGAACTCATGGAGTCACGGCAAGTTCAAGCCCTGCGTATTTCCAGCTGTACGCAATATCAATTACTCGATCCGAAATATTTCGGAAATATTTAGTGATCGCAGTATAAACGCGGTCGTAGTACAGGCAGGTCCGTCGCGATGCGTCGGGATAATCGTTATTTGAGCGTAACGCACGGCAGATTGCATTTCGCTAATGCCGGTAATGCAAACGGAGATTAATTCTTGCAAGGCGAAGGCGTTGAGCGATTCGGAAGTAAACGTAGAGATGGATCCCTGTGGAGCGCGCGATGATAAAATGGTTATGAGGCGAATAAACTCGTACACGCGCCGTAGCGAGCAAGATTTTGGAGCTCGGCGCTACAGTTTTCGATAATAGATGCGTAGCTACGGCGGTGACACTCTCGCTACTCATTGGTACAGACGTCGAAAGTAGCGTCGACAGGCTGAACGAAATGATCAAAATGCAATAACGTGTGATGCCGTTACACTGTCGACATGCGCAATTTGTACAATCTTTCACGGAATGCTTTGTACTAAAACAGTTTACACAGCGTTTCTGGTTTTTAATAAGTTTAAAACGTTGGGATGGAGTTTGCTTTAAGAACGTAGAACATTGATACAATAGATGGTTCGCTTTGCAATGAGCATAAGAACGGAACGGTAGACGCGGTATGTAAGGCGAGAGTTTTTTTTTTTTTGGAAGTCGTTTGTGACTTTTCTGTTGCATTCGCGGGTGCAATCGCGTCAAACGCGCGAATGCGCGATGCAAGAAATTGATCAAATACGCGATAACGCGGGTAATCTACGGTATCGCCAAGTTTAAATTCCCAAGCGATAATTTTTCGCGAATTTTTATCGAGTTTTTGTGAAACTAGAAAAACAAGCCAATTATCCCAATGTTTGGTTGCGCAACCGAGATTGCTCAGAGCTTATATCGCTTTATTGATTTGATCGCAAAGTATGCAAAGATCATTGGAGGTTTCTGTCGTGAGCGACGGTAAATTGAAAAGCGGTTGTAAGTGTATCGTAATAAGGCGGCGCTTATTATCATACCGGGAAACGAGAATATTCCACACAATAGCGAAATTATCATTGGTTACCGCGAGATGATCTAGGGTGTTACTGCTAGGGCATCTCCTTTTACACATAGTGCATGCGGTCGACATTCGTTAAACTATGATCCTTATGGATCATCGATTTAAATTGATCGTGAAAGCTTTCCCATTTGTCGAAATTCTCGTTGAAGGTCGGCAAGTTGATCGGCAATCCAGCTCTTGGCATCGAGCAAAGGTCTCCTTGAGGATTGTCGCGTAACGGCACGTGTCATCTTGGCCTACCCTAGCTTCTTGATATTAGTGAGTGTGCGAGATATGATACGCCTATCTGTTGGTTTTGGATGCTCATCAATTCGTCGAGAGACGACATTATTTCCAACCGAAAAGGCACATCTCGGTACATTCGAGAATCAAGCAAAGAAACAATAACCCTCCTTGACGACGATTCGGCTCAAAAGACCAAAATATGTTTTGTGACGTGTCACTGGTGTCACCTTGTCTGGAAGGCTCGCTCGCCAAGGCGGCGTGTAATGACGACGACTTTCTTTGTTATAACAAGTTAGATTTATTATAGATATGAAGTACGATTTCTTCGAAGCGGGCGGTAGGCGCTGCTTGTAACAATAATTGCGATGATGGATACGTTCGGTAGATGTGTGCACAGATAATTTACACTAGGTACGACTTGGAGTGATTTCTCACAACTGTTTGATAGAATGCAAGCAATAACGAGACCTGCAAATCTTGTTGAAAACTCTGGTTATTCTCACGCACTTAATACTCTCGCGGTATGCGTATACCGGTCACAGTAAGCGACAGAAAACACCGGTGATACGCGACGACAATTCGATAGGTTCGCACTTATTTCGAGAAAGTGCGTAACGACTGAGTATCGCTATGTGATCTATATCAATCGGGATCGGGCAGCGAACTGAATAATCGCGCACGGAATGTGTGCGCGATAGTCAGCTTTTCGGGATTTGCGCAAGGGGGGTCGCGTGCCATCTGAGACAGATAGCGTGATTAAAGTAGGAGCGAAATATGCGCGTGTTTTGCCGACTCGGTGTCGATGAGCTATTTACAATACATTTATATTTTAATGGCTATATAGTTTCTTAATTTAAAATATGTTGAAATCTTATAAGAGAACGCTTTGGAGCTTTGATTTTTAATAACAAGATTCTTCTCTATTGAAAATTATTATTTGGTTTTCTGTAGAATAATGTTTTTAAAAGTATTATATACTTTCTTTTCCAGACTGTTAATAATTCTGAACTTCTACCAGAAAAATTAAAGGTAGCTTCAGTGAATACAGAATTTTCTTTTAATCCGAATCTTTACTGTTGGGGTAAATAAGAGATAATATTAGTATATCATTTTTTGAAATATTTTATAATTACAATGATTTTTATTACATTACCATTATTAGCCAAACATTTATATTCAATTTTTTAACTTTTATGAAGTATATATAATATTTTTTAAATACTCTTATACTTTATTTTTGCTTAGGTTGAATCTCAAACCATTTCACAACAATCTATTACTATGCAACAAATGTCTGAAAAGAACTTGATTGACTTTGTAAACAAGCAAAAGCAATTAATTATGAAACTAAAAACAATCAAGGAAAAGATAGAAAAATTGATATTTTGACACGTTCTATCTTACTAAATCTTACGCATTAAATCGGAAATATGGAAATTTAAAAGTGGAATTGAGTCGGCTGAAAAAAAAACACTCTGCTTTTTCCGAAATAGATTTTATTGTATTTTCAGATCTGATCAAAGCATTATTATCAAAAAGGAAAAGTATACGAAGGCTAAAATGGAATCCTGAAACTATAAAGGAAAATCTAATTTATAAAATAAATTGTGGTACAAAAACTTATTCAGATTTAATTGCAAAGTATCCATTATTTCCATCTGTCAGAAATTTACAAAAATATATTCAATATATTGTTTTTGAAAGTGGAATATTGGATCAAATTTTTGATTTATTAGAAATTATGGCAGAAAATTTACATGATAATGAGAAAAACTGCTGTTTAGCCATGGATTAAATAGCTATTAAAGAGGATGAACGACTTGATCCAAGCACCAAAAAGTGGATTGGTAAATGTACACTTCCAACTCATTCTGGCATTGCCAATAAAGCGTTGGTATTTATGCTTACTGGTTTAACTCTACGTTGGAAAGTAACGGTTGCATTTTATTAGGCAAAAATCAGAAGAAACTAAAAGAAATAAGGCTAGTAATCTTACTGGACTTGCTTTAAAAGATATTATTTGTACTATAATTAACAAAGCAGCAGCAATCGGATTACGTGTATGTGCTGTAACAAGTGATATAGAACCTAATAATATGTCTATGTGGAGGTCTTTTGATATTGAAGCGAAATGGATGCATCAAGTCTACCGTGCTACATTCTGCTTGTTGTGGTGCACAGTTTTTTTTTCCAGATGCAGCCCATATTTTCAAAGCAATAAAATCAATGCTTGAACAAAATAAAATAATAAAAATACCAAAAGATATAATGGAAGAAGAAAAATTGAGTTCGGACATTGTGGCTTATAAGCGTATAGCACATCTTTATTATTTTGAATCCAAATTTGAATTAAAAGTGGCATTTTGCTTGAAAAAAAATAATATATACACTAACAAATAATTTGCAAAAATAAAGGTATCTAACTCACGGGCTGTATTTTGTAATCACACAAGCATCGGACTTAAAAGATTAGGAGATGTTGTTGAAAATGATAATTTGAAATCAATTGCATATTTTATCGAAACAATAAATGCTTTCTTCGAACTAATAACAGCAAGACATCATACACTAGCTTTGAGTCGTTCCAACGAAACTGCATATAATAAAGCTTTGAATCTCATTCAAAAAGTAAATCACTTATTTCTCAACATGGAAGTTAGTGACACAGGATTATAGAAGCCTTGCCAAAAAGGCATTGGAATATTGTGTTCGAGTCTTCTGGATCTATAAGATTATCTTTTAAATGAAAGAAATTACTCTTTTTTTCTTCCGGGTCGTGTCAATCAAGATTATATTGAAAATTTATTTTCAAATATACGACAAGGATAACCGGTATCAAATGCAATAGCATTTATTCAAAATTTAAAATTAATTACTTTAGCACAGTATTTCATGGCTGTAAGAGAATCAAATTATGATTTTGAGGAAGAAGAATCTTTTACAGACTTTCTACAAATTACTGTCGAGAAGACACAGCAAATGGTTCAATCAGATGAATTAGATTTATTAGAAATGGCTGCTCTATCCATTCGTCAACTCACGGATAAATATTGCAAAATAATAAATGAATAGAAAACAGCAGTCATACGAGGGTCGTTTGAAAAGTCCGTGCAAAGTCACTGCTGATGGCACTACTGGCGCGTATCAAGATTAGATTTAGTTAGTAGCATCTCTTGGAGGAACACACACCAAGTTACAGCCAGATCGGTCTATTTGTTTGTGTTTGGCATTCATTTGAATCGAGGAAGTCGAGTGATTTTCAATAACGCACCAGCTCACACCTCAGCAGTTGTGGTCGCAAAATTAATGGAATTAGGGTTCCAACTCGTCTCACATCCCCCCTATTCTCCAGACTTGGCTCCCTCGGACTACTATTTGTTCCCCAATATGAAGAAATGGCTGGCGGGAAAAAGATTTTATGGAAACGAGGACGTGATTGCAGAAACAAACCCCCCTCGACTTCCTCGATTCAAATGAATGCCAAACACAAACAAATAGACCGATCTGGCTGTAACTTGGTGTGTGTTCCTCCAAGAGATGCTACTAACTAAATCTAACCTTGATACGCGCCAGTAGTGCCATCAGCAATGACTTTGCACGGACTTTTCAAACGACCCTCGTATATGATATGACAGGAAATGTATTACTAATTGTAAAAAATACTACCAATGTGTGCAATGCTTGTTTTAATGCTGTTAGATGACAACACCCAGAACCGCATCCTTTAAGTATAATTATACTTGAAAGAATATAACATGTTATCTGAAGATGACAATAATGTACGTCAAATAATGGTGTCTGAAGAATGTTTTAAAGCCATTTTGAGAGCGGAAATAATATTTCGTACGAGATCAAACTACTTCATTTCAGTATACAAATGTACTCGAATATTTTATAAATAGATAGATATGTATGGAATGATACTTCCGTCCCAAATTGCCACAATATTTGTAGAAACATATTACAATGTTATTTTCAATCAAGAATATAACAATATGACATGTTAAGAAAGCAGCAACTTTCTAACGAAAGTATTAATAAAAGTATCAAAAGTATAGCCAGGCAGTGGCAGAAAAGTTATAGGAAATAAATTTAAGTTTTTAAATATTGTAGTTTATGACTAAAAAATTATAAGCTTTATTATTTTATTACAATTACATTATTGTTTTATTAGAGGCAAATGAAATTTTATTTATTATTTTTTATCTCACATATATATAATTTATTATTTTTCAATATTGTTACAATTATTACAATTTTATTAAAAAGAAATAAAATTTTATTTTTTGTTTACTTTATTACAATTCAAATACTCTTTTTGAGCTTATCAAAATAACCTGATTCTTTCCCTGTTTGCATACTGCTAGCAATTTAATAATTTCAAAATGTGAGAGGTTAGAAATTAATTATTTTTATTTTTTTTTTGTTACGTTGAGTAGATTCTAAATATAGTAATTCGTAAATAAGATTTAATTTTATATCTTTCATTCTGTTTTCGAATTTTAATTTTTTTATAATTTCTACATTTCTTTTTGCTTCTTCTCTCAGAAGAAGTTGATCTAAATTTACTTTTTCAGTATTATATAAGATAGCTCCTTCAGTGATAGATTATAAGTTTAGTTTTCGCGCTTCATCACTGGCGGCGTTTCGATTAACTCGCCATTGCCGCATACGATTGGCCGTGCCTTGCGATTAGCCCGTCGACAATACCCTTTCGAGATTGGTTGAGTTGCGATAGTGGGGCAGAAGAAGAGAGATCCTCGGAGATCCCTTTGTATAAAGAGTAGTCCGTTACCAGACTTTAGAATAAAGAGTATCTCAACAGTTAATAATGTATATACGCTACTTTAAAAGTTATACGCCCTTTCCTTCCAAGGAGTCTTTTAGATTATCCCTCCTTTGGATTAATCCTAATAACATCCTTTCCCTTTCGAAACGTTGCTATTTCGGAAGTTATACACGGGATCGTGTTGCTGCCTTACAATTAGCTATTGTTATTAGATCTTTTTCCATTTTTTATCTACAAAAACATTATTAATCTTTAAAGGATGAAAAAATTTATTTTTAAAATCTGTCTCTTAAGTAAAATATATTTTAATATCATGTTGCTTACCGAAATATACGATATTGGAGCCTAGAGAATTAGCGTCACTAAATGGCTAAGTCCAATAATAAAGGTTTTTCTCCGTTTCCTAATCTTTGGATTTCAGAATTTTTAAATCTTGATAATATTACAGTCTCTAAAAGATCAATATCTTCTTATAATCTAGAAACGCTACTGTTACAGGAATCGTACTCGGTATAAAAAAATAACAGATATAAACACAGACCATTTTTTTTTTAGACGATCCTTTTAAATAAGCTCGATTGCGCTTTTCTGATATTTAGGACTCTATTCCTAACATATTCATTGGTTACCACGTAGCGACATCAGCGTTTCCAGTATGCAAAAGCCATTAGGCTTTTCACTTAACGCTACAACTCTTATTTTCGGCGTTAAAACAAGTCACGTAATCATAATTGACAAATATCAAGCGTCAATTTTGATCACGTGATCTGTTTTAACGCTGAAAATAAGCGTCGTAGCGTCAAATAAAAACCCAGCCTTTCGGTGAACAAGAATAAAATGATATGCGGGGGGACTCGGGTGATGTTTCCAAACGTAGCCGAAAGGTAAAAAATTACCGATAGTGATTACTATCAACTATGAGATAGTTTTTTTAATAAAATATCAATATATCGATAGTACTAACGGAAATTTTTTAATTATTATTTTGTATTACATTATAGGCTAAAACCGCCAAAAACTTCAATAAATTCTATCGGATTTTATATATTATGTTCTCCGACATCAGCTTCAGTTGAAATCCTGCAAAGTTACTATAGAATGGTTAAATTAACCATTACCGAAGTTTGGTAAAATTCATTCATTTATATTAAAAATGGCTGACAAATAGATGATTGGTGGATTTTATAGTCTATCTACAAAAGATGCTATTTTTAATACGTTTTCTAATTTTGCTACTAACATAAGTCGGTCATGCTTTTTTTATATATCTAGAACTAGGCTGGCATCCCATGGAGTAGAAATTTATAGCAGAACGGAACAGCGCGACCAAATACAACTCTGCAGTCATTACGCTGTTTTCTTTTCTACGATTGTGATTGATCGCACTGTTCCGTTCCGCTGTAAATTTCCGCTCATGAGATGCCAGCCTAATGGCTCCTGCACACAAAACGCGGCAACGCTTGCGAAAATTTTTCAAGCCTGTTGATTGGCTATAGGATAGAGAGATCTAAAGACCTCTCTGTTGTGTACACATTTGTCATACGACAAAAAAAACACATAAATGAAATATCACCCTAACTGTAATTACGTTTTGAAACGCAGAACTGCGCAGAAGAATTATGCCTAGATAACTCTAGGATGCATTTTTACTATAATATACGAAACGTAACCTATAGCTTAAGTGGGAAGCAGACTCTTGTCACAGTATATACAGTAGCGCAACTCTCCCGATTTTGCTTCACTTTTTCACGAGACTAGTCTCTCGAGGTTTCTCACACAACACTATCAAATGGACAATGTAGGTTATATTTTCCTCTAAATTTCTGCTCTCAGCTCTTTAAATGGAACATTGAAACAGTCATTTAAATAGAAGAAGAGCAATAAAAAATTAGACGGAGCAATTTGCTTATTTCGCGCATGCGCACTCCATTTTGGCCACGCTCACATCAAAGGTGCCGAGGAGTTGCACTACTGTGCTCTTGCATAATGCATGGATAACACATAATGCATAAAAAAAACTTTAACCAATTAAAGTTCTTCGTTTCCTTCTTTTCCATAAAATAAAGACCTCTGATTGGTTAGATTTCTTACGTCTTATGTGTTATCCGTTATGTAAGAGTCTGTGCTCCCCGCTTTAGAATTATTTGGAAATAATTCCTGAACGCAACCCAGTTCTAGATATTTATGCTAGTGATCCTAGAGTCTCTACTCTCTAGTTCATGCTATATTTTACGCAACTATCGTCTCTCAATAGCAAAAGGAAACTATCGACATATCACTTTAAGATTAAGTTATCGATAGTCACTATCGATAGCTTTCTATCTATTATAATATACACCATGTTTACTTGCATCATGCCAGATGCCATGCTATGAACGGTCAAGCCTAAGCTGTTTAGAGTGTAACGGATGTAATTTTAAAGTCCAAAAAATTCTCGTAAGAAATTTGTAAACATGACCGACAACAAAAATGATAAGACGAAAGTCGATCTCGGATTGCTCGAGGAAGACGATGAGTTTGAAGAATTTCCTGCGGAAGGTAGTTTTCTTAATTGACATGTTTTTATGTAACATCGAAATCGCTGATTCATCAAATACATTGACAAATATCAAACACATTGACAAATCATATTTGGAAAATAAATTTATTAACTAGATTGGACCGCAAAGGATGAAGATAGCGATGATATCAGCGTCTGGGAGGACAATTGGGACGATGATGACGTTGAAGATGACTTCAATCAACAGCTGAGGTATTGCTTTGCCATAAATTCGTTTACTGAAACAAATTCCACATATACATATAGGACAAAGGGGGACAATGTAATGCTTGATAAATAAAAAACGTTAAATGTAATATATTAAATAAAGATTATGCTCTTTTACTTTTAAACGATGGATGAAGTGATGTAGGATTGTTTTTCTAAATATTTTATCTACAATTGTCGCTATCGTTAACTAGCAACAGTCAATGACAGCCGCGTTTTCTTCCAGGATTATCCTGTTATTGACTGTAATTACCCTGGTGAAAATTTTACTCATAATTTTTATACGAATTGGAACATTTTTCAGAAATACTTGGAAAATTTACATCTCCCAGAATTTTTCATATAGAAGTGAATTCTGAAATATTCTAAAATTTCTCATCCCATAATTTTTAAAAAGTATTTAAAAATTTTTTTACATTTCATTAAATTATATAAAATATCTTAAAAATCTTACGATATTTCATAACATATATGAAAAATTTTGAGAAAAAATATAGATTTTCTGAAAAATGGTCCACACACACACACACAATTCGTATAAAAAATATGAGAAAGTTAAAAATTATAGAGAAATTCTAAAAAATTATATGAAAAACTCTAAGAAAAATTTTTACCAGAATAATGATAGTGATAATCATCGATAAAACGTTTAGACAGTCCTGTTACATGTATGGTTTTCTTAAATCTGTTTTGTAATGGAAAATATGAAATATTGTCTAAAAGTATTTAACTGATTCTACAATAAGTCAGTAGTCGATAATCTTAAGTCTTATTGGTGAATCAGTGAACCAAGTTGGCCAACAGTCAACAACTAAGACAAATTTTCTTAAGACTAATCAAATCCGATTTTATTCGTTCTCATTAGTCGAGCTAAATGATTCAACCAACAACTAAATAGATGCAAAAAATCAGTCACCTATTTAGGTTAAAACTGGTTAAGACTTAAGATTTCCGACTACTGACTCATCATAAACTAATTGTCATAAACGATCCTGTAGGTATCATAAATGTATATATGATATATATATCATAAATTAATTGTAAGACTCTCTCAATATATTACTTAAGACAGTCTCGAAATAAGAACAGCATATGAATACCAGCATATATTTGATGTACAAATAAATAATCTAAATTTTTTAGTTAAATTCGAGATTTATTTTAAAAGAAAGTAAAACAAATTTTTCAATCAAAGTATTCGCCGTTGCTTTCTATAACTTTAAGTCATTTTTCAGGCTGTTAAATTCCATCTTGGAAAAATGCTGTATCTTTGAACGCAATAAAGTCATGAAGGTATTTTCGGATCTCATCTATTGATTGGAAGTATTGGATGTGAGTATTGGATAAGGCGTGTTGCATTGACTGGAACAAATGATAATCGGTTGGAGCAATGTTTAGTGAATACGCTGGATGCTGCAAGACATCCCAGCCAAGATTCATTATAGTGTCTTTTATCTTGGAAGCAGTGTGGCCCTGGCGTTGTCATACAACAATTTTGCAGGACATTCTCCTTTGCCGGGCGTTTCTGTTCCAATTCTTGACTCAAGCGGTTTGTTTTACTCAGTTCCAACAGTTATGGCGGACTGCTACTAACACCAATTGATCTGCTTGAAAAAGCATTTTTCCGAGATGGAATTCATCAGCTGCCTAAAAAATGCTTAAAATTATAGAAAGCAAGGGCAAATACTTTGATTTAAAAATTTGTTTTACTTTCTTTTAAAATAAATCTCGAATTTAGCTGAAAAATTTTGACTTATTCATTTGTATACCTAATAACATACACTGTACTATACTAATAAAAAATATAATTATAAAAATAAAAATTTTTAGAGTGTTTTGAGTAGGGTTGGAAAGTAACGTGTTACTTGTAACGACGTTACATTTTCGTTACTTTTTTCTGATAACAATTTGATAACGCCGTTACTTTCTTAGTAACGAAAAAGTTTCATTACTTGTATTGTTACAACTTGTATCGTTAATTTGTTCTAGATCATGGCCGTCATGGACAATAAGATTATAGGTACTAAATAAACATAAAACTTTTTGCCTCATTTTTGCTTCATTATTCTCGCTTTAGCATAAGAACACTAAAAACTAAAATATCTATTATATAATAAAATACTGTAGAATTAAACATAAATATGTGCAATATTAATAAAAGATAAAAATGTTCGAAGATAAATATCTTTCTAAATATCTTATATTTAATTTATATTGTTTTAGCATTCTGTCTTAGAAGCCTATTTTAACACTTAAAAAGCGTAATTATGCAAAAGACAGACTTATTCATTGATTTTAATGAAATTAAGACCATTCGATGCATTTTTGCACGAAATGAATGAATCTAAGATTTCCTTATCTCAATAGTCATCAACTTTAACCATTAATATCTCGGTTCGCCGGGCAGACGACACTTATTTTTCTGCTAATTCGTTCATTTCGTGCAAAAACATGTCGAATAATTCTAATTTCATCAAAATCGATGAGTAGGCCCGTCTTCTACGTAATTAGAAAAAAAGTAACGAAAAGTAATGATTTTTTTGTCGTTAATTAAATAACGGTAACGTTTTACTTTTTAAAATCGGTAATGAGTTATTTTTTACCGCAAGTAACGGTAACGGTAATACGTTACTTTTAAAAAATAACTTTCCCAACACTGGTTTTGAGCATTCCTCTTAGCAATTTGTATATCTTTAGATCATCTACTTAAAATCTGTACGAAACTGCAAAGTGTACACAAAATTTACAGTGTTGTAATTAAATTTCAGAGCACAACTAGAGAAGCAGAAGGCTACAAATGATGCACCCAAGAAAAATTAATTAATTTGTAATGTAATTAATCTTATTATTTTATAAAATAAATATATTAAATATTCATCTCGTGTGTATATTTATATTTTGTATGTGTGTATGTGTACACATAAAACTCTTTACAATCTTTTAAATATAATAGGGCTGCAGTTTATAAAGGTTGTATAACACGCACCATATGTTTTATAGGAGCACACAATTCCTTTGTACAAAACTTAGTTATTAAATATAAATACTATACTTGGGACCCTATTCTGTAACTCTTAATGATAGTAACAATTGTTACATTGTTTTTGTGTAGTACATGGTAAAAAAGCTGCGCACCAATAATGCAACGATATTGTTACTGTCATTAAGAGTTACAGAATAGAAGTCTTAGTAAGTCCAGAAATGCATATAGTGCCTTCCCAAGAGTGACTCATTTCATCATCATTCAATTGAAAGGAGCCATTATTCTCTAATGGAAAAAATACTTGGCATATCTTATTATAAATATATGATCAGGTACAGTCTTCGTTTTTAAAAAATCTGTCGGATTTTTCACAAAACATAAACGGTCAACATATCGCTCTTACTTTAAAAGTCACATGATTCAAAAAAATTAAGAAAAGAAAAGAAATTATTTTTCAACTTGATAGAAAATTATTGAATCAAATAATATCAGCAGAAAGAATATATTTTTAATATAATGAAATGTCATTTTTGTCATTTTTATTTCACATTTTTGAAAATACTATCCTTGGTGATAATTTTGACGATTTTTTTTTTTAATAAAATTAAGTTAGTTTAATATTATAATATCATATTAGACCGCGATGTGAACATACAACAGATAGTTTTTTAGATCGTTTACTTTTGATGATTAGGTAATGGATAGGATAATGTTTATTTAATTAATTTATATTCGGAAATCATCTTTTTTAAGTTTTGTCACCTTTGAGTATGGGAGCGATATGTTTTACATATGGCACATATCAATTTTTTTTATATAATTATTTTGATACAAGTATCTTAATGACTCCCCCACAGACGCATTATCGAGAGAATAAAAGTGTGCGAATCTCACTAATTATCAAACAATCTTCTATTTAAAGAATTTAATAAACATCGAAATTAATTCCTTGTGGTGTCGTGATTTGTTTTACAGGAAATTAATAATTCCGATACTAGTGCATCCAACATTTGCATATTTAAATCTACGTTGATCTTTTTGATTTTATATGAATTTAACAAATAGTTCAAAGCATTGTGTATATCGTCCTCGCCGAATATCAATTTTATGTCGTACGATATCTTTTCCTCTAATATATGTAACAATTTGTCTTTCAATTGTGTATCGTTCTGACTTGTGTTATTATGTGATGCATCCCAAATTAACGAAGAGTCGCTCAGAGAGTCAAATAACCAAGGAATTATTTTCTGTAAATAACCATAAAATTAACAAATATAATAATTATAAAAGAAATGTAATATTCTTTTGAATATAAATCTCACCTGTAGGATTGGCTCTGAAATGTTTCCAAATAGCAACTTAGTCCATCTAACGACTGCTTCTTGCTGTAGTGTGTTGTTACTAGCAATGCCTGCTAGAAGTTCACAAATCAAATCTATCATCGTACATGTCAGTGTTAAATTCGAATCTAACTCGTCTACTTCATCTAAAAAATATAATATTTATCTTTTATTATTGCCATTATAAAATACAATTTTATATTATTTTATTTCATACAACAAAAAAGTAATATTATTAGCAATATTATCGTAGCTACCATCATATGAAGTATTAATCGTCTCCCACCAGCAATCCAGTAATTCTGAATCTCCACTGGCTTCTATCGAGTCAACTGCTTCATAAGCTGTGTCTACTGTAAAATACTCTGTCCTTTCCGTGATCAGTTGCTGTAGTTCACAAGCTAGACTTTTCTATGAAGAATAGATATTTTGAAATATTAATATGTTGTACATACATAAGAGTTATAATTTGGAAAACGTAAATCAAACTGAAATAAGTTGCAAATTTAGTTTTCAAGGATAAAATTAGGTACTTTCAGACGATGCACAGTGGATAAAATGCAAATTCAGCTGGACAAAACTTCAATTATTAAGAAATAATGATAAAATTGTATTTAATAAGTATTTTTGTGATCGCTGATTTTGAATTTTGATGTAAAAATTAACTTTTTTGTTATTTAAAAAAATGTATAACTGGGATTTATTATAATTTTTAATACAAGTTATATTATTACAGCTTGGGCTTCATATGAAAAATTAAAAAATAAAAATTGCAAACATTAAAGCAACAAAATAAATAAAATATGTAAAATTTTAGTCACTTGTACATTGTGACTGTTTTTTTAAATATGATGTAATTTTATAGCGCACTGATAACCGCGCAGTTATTTATTTACTTTCAATTGCCCGTTTTCTTCATTAATTTGTTTAAAAAATAATTAAAAATTTTTAAAAGTTAAAAGACTTCTATTATATATTTTCATCTTCTTTTTCTTTGGAATCTTTTCTTCCTTCGTCAGGTTCAGTTATAAGAAGTCTAAGCACATCGAGTAACTCTTTATTTTTTATAAATCTTGAAGAACGAATTTTTTATATTACTGTATACTGAATATCTGCAAAAATTGCAAAAAGTAACACATCATTGCGGTTATTTAAAATATGTACTACAAAGAATACAATCCTAATTTGGATCTTTTTGGATAAATTTGACAAAAATGTTTTCTATTCAGTATTATGTACTAATTATACAATAAAATAATATTTACATTTTACTAAATTTCTTTCAATACATATATACAAGAATTTGAATAAAACATTTAACATAGATTGAAAGAAATAGTTAATAATTTATATTAATTTTTCCTTTAAAAAGAGTACATATACATTAACAATTGATTATAAAACATTATACATTTTATGTAATTAATAATAAGTATAGGGCTACAAGCTGCAAGCCAGATCTTAATGCTGTGTTATTAAAAAACAAAAATGTATTATAACAAACGTTTCAACCCCAATTAGGTCATTCTCAATGTTAAACTAGAACCAATTTAAAATCAACTACTCATTTAACAGATAACAATTCTTCTTATATATTTCTTATATTTTATAATCATGCAAAGATGTAAAATATATTTTTCAGTAAAAGTAACTCTGAGAAACTTACTATGAGCATTGTTATGACAATATCAGAATGTTTTATTGGCCTCATTATGATGCAATTTGCGTTATACAAGTATAGATAATACTTTGTTACACTGATTAATTCATTAAAAAATATTAAGTTTTTTAAGTTTCGTCACTGCTAGATTCATATTTTATCCCACTGTGCAACGTGGCCAAAATATGCTAACTTTATATTCGTATTGATCTACATTCATATGGATCATTACGCACAGCGTGCGTGCGTGCGTGCGTGCGTGCGTGCGTGCGTATGTGTGAAAATTTGCTAATGTAGTGTATGTATATACATACATATGTTCATTTCGTCTAAAACGATCTTTAGGACATAATATATAAAAGATAAAACCAAATTAAAAAACAAAATTTCGATTAGATTTAAAATAAAAATTTGAATTAGATTTAACGCATGTGTTATCTCTTATTAAAATATTGTATATTCTAATATATGAATTTTATTGATTTTTGAAGATATTGTAACATTAAAGTTCATAATTATTATGGGTTCGGTAAGTTAATTTTTTTTATTAACTAAGTTAAGTTAACAGCCTTGAAAATTAATTAAAATATAAGTTAATCCATAATAAAATTAATTTAATTAAAAGTTAAATTAATAAAAAAAGTTAAGTTAATTAAAAAATTAAAAGTTAAATTTGGTTCAAACGAACAATCAAAAAAAAATTTGATTATTTTACATGATTTTTTTTCTTACAGCTTATTTATTAAAGAATTTGGTTATTTTTGTTCACAAGTAACGATTATACAATATAAAATTACTAAATTATATACTCATTAGCATTGTATCTAGGATTGGCTTCAAAAAATTCGAATTAAAAATTAATAGTTACTGATAAAATGTAACTAAATTAAGTTGAAATTAATTAACTTTTTAACTTAACTTTTATCTTTTTAACTTAGCATTACTTAATCCTAATTATATTTAATTCCAACTATACCTTTTTTTCTAAAAAAAAATATACGTATAATATTTATACATATATACAAATTCTACATTACCGATTTTATATCTTCGACAAATCTCCAAGGTATGTCAGATAAAGGCATCAAAGTAGGTAGAGGGGAAGCCTCTTCTTCTTGATCTAGTTCGAATCCTGGCACAACAGTTTTCAACGTATTAAAAACACCAGTCACGGTCTTGGCTAGAAATCGATCCAAACGAGGCGCTACCGCGTCGGCTTTCTTTCCCGCGCTACTACTAGGTCGAAGAAAGTGACGCAGTTGTGGCGGACATTCGTTCGCCAATCGCGTACATAACGTTTTCAAATACATCTCCAGTTCGATCCGGCCACCCTCAGGCAATACCAATTCCGACATGATATTTGCTAATGATGGAATCTGGAATTTTGTGAACATAATATAGTCATTAAATTTAAATTACAACTCTGAATTTATTTGTATCAATTTATTTTTTTACTATAACTTTTTAAAATATTTTCAGTTGTAAAAACCTTACTTCTTCTAAACTGATGTGCAATTGAACAAAATCAGCGTATTGCCTTTTGACTGTAGCAGTGGTTGTTTCGAATAAATCTACCCCATGTTGTTCGACATCATCAAACTGTATACAATAGTACAATTGCTGCGAGCCGTCCGTTGCAGTATGGAACTCAGTCCAAGGAATTGATAAATTCATAAATTGGCTTCCTTCATATATCACGTAGGATTTTTCTTCAACGTGTCTGAAATTTACAGGTTTATGTAGCAATGTAATTGAGATTAAATAGCATTACTAACAATAGTGTGTTTGCTGTAGATCTCTGTTGCAACAGATTTCTAAGCCTAGCGATAGTCGTAGCAAAATCTGTCAGCTCTTCGTATACCGGTGATATCTTATCTTCATCTAATTCCAGATCTGTATTAGTTATGCTTCCTCCCCATAGACCACTGTGCTCTGTAGAAAGACCTTCCAAACACAGAGTTGGTCTTTCTGCAGTTACCATTAAAACTGCATTCTTGTTTTCACTAGTAGTAGTTGCAGTTGGACTAGACTTAGATACAGATTTTGGTAATTGCTGTGGGATCACAGCCGCTGTCACGGATGTAATACCATCACTCAAAGCAACACTTATGGTACCCTAAAAAATTAAATTATTGTATGTTATCATTATTGTGTTTTATATATATATATATATATATATATATATTACTGTATGATAATGTTACTATTAGAATTTACATTGATATTTTGTTTAACTGGAGTAATGACACTATCAACTTTGTGTGACGGAGCTTCCAATAATATTAACATATTTTTAATCAACCAATCTGGGTAGCTTATTGTGTCTATTGTTATTAAAAGTCTCTTTGCTAAAATAGATAACAAAAGTTTGCATGGTAATGAACTAGTTAATTCCCATTGTAAAAACTCTTGTGCCAGAACAGTAACTAAACGATATAACATGTGCTCCAACGTCGACGTACTACGAGATGCAGGGTGTAAATATTTATAAGCTTCCTCCATGCTAGCTGCAGTACCCTTCTCAACTCTACGTAATGCTCTGTGGAAATGTGGATATATACTGATATGAATAAATAATTAACTTTACTAGATTTGCAAAGATAATTCTTGAGATGAATGTATTTGTACCTATGATATTCCTTTAAGTGCAACAATAACACATTTGCCAATTTATTAATAACCTTTGTCTTATCTATGAGACTGGTTTTCCAAACAAGCCTGGTCAAGAACTTGCTTAATAAGTCCTGTGCTTCATCAGGGAATGATCTGTCATTACTTATATTCCTATACCACATTTCTACATACTTTGCATTAATCTCTCGTATTATTTCTGTTATGTTCAGCTTTTTTTTTCTTGTCAAAGGGTTTTCCTTACAGGTATCAAATGCTGCATCATTATTGCATGTAACAGTACCTTCTTGTACAGAATTCAAGTTCTTTTGGTTCTCACTTTGACTCTTGTAAATGACCTCTATACTTTCATCTTTGTTTACAGAAAATTCCGAACTTAACTGACTCACTAGTCTTTTATATATCCACTTATTTATAAATCTTAAGGGAATCGGACTGTTGGCTTTTAGTGTGAGACGTAGCAAATAACAACTCAGCCATACAGATATAATTGTAATAAATACTGCCCAAGAGACAGAAATGTATATTGGCAGAGGTGTGAGATCTATCCACCCTTGTACAATCAAGGATAATATTGCAGCTGCTATACTAAAAATTAATAGTATTTGGTTCAACCAACTCATTGGTATAACTTTCTCCATTTTGTGCACTGTAATGCTTTCAATTAACAACAACTTAAGTGTCACATTTTGTGCTACAATAACCTGTCAAAATAAAAGAGATATATTTAATTTATTTTCAGCTAATAGTGTTACACCATATAAAATCAGGTTATATAATTAAGAGATACACTTGCTTTCGAACTGGTAGAATTATGAAAAATTCCAAACTTATAGAGAAAATCTAAAACATTATATGAAAAATTCTAAAAAAACGTTTATCAAAGTTGAGCCTTTCAAATACTGTTCAATTATTTATCAACTTAATTATTTATATCAATAATTACCGATAATTTTAAAAAACGTATCACATATGTGTCTTCCCACTTCACACACACACACACAACTATTTACTTTATTGTCATTCTTAAAGTTCTCTTGTAGGTGATTAACCTCGCCATCAACTCGATTGCTCCGTTCAGGGATTACGTCGCGAGAAAATTGGCGTCATTGGCACTTGCACCTAGAGACCTTAGAGTTCCTCTAATAAAGTCCATATAGCATATACAAAAACGTAAGGCCGTAACACGTAAGCAGTAAGCGAATTGGCCAATCACAGTAGAGACGATAATGCCAGTAGCGAATCCAATGTTATGATTTTCTTACTAATTACGTCTTATGGTCTTTTCTATGTGCTCCAGCTTAAGCGAATTGCCCAATCACGGTAGAGACCGTAAGATCAGAAGCGAACTTAGAACATATACACATGGAATGCTAATAGGACGCTCAAGCTGGAGCCAAGATAGGCGCGAGAGAGAAAGGTATAGTAGAATTAAAATTCGCAATGCGCATGCTCAATTTCGTCACGTGGTTCCATTCATTACGTCGTTCCATTCGAAACTATGGTTGGGTAACCGAAATACGGAACAGCAGAATAAATTGACGAACGCAATGACAGAACTGAGCATGCGCATTACAAATTTTAGTTTCACTATACCTTTCTCTCTCGCACCTATCTTGGCTTCAACCCAATGCATTAGCGGTATAGGCAATGAGCAATTCCATGTGTATATGTTCTAAGGAAGCGAATCCAATCTTATAATTTCGTAAGACCGTAAGACATTAATCAGTACGGTTGGTAGTCCTATCATAAGATTGGATTTGCTACTGACCTTACAGTCTTTATCGTGATTGGGCAATTCGCTTACTGATTACGTCTTACGGCCTTACGTTTTTGTATGTGCCATGGGTTTAAGAGTTAAGATCACAGACTTCTCTATACATACTACTAAACTGTTAACTTGTTTAAAAAAGTGACCATCAATTTTGATATAAAATTATTTATATGCGTATTAGAACTGCCCCGCGCGACTGCGTGACGTGTATCTGCACATGTATACACACCAACACACTATTTTGACAGGTTAACCTATTTAACAGTATTAAAACCACCAAATACTTATTTTCATAATCCAACTATTGTAAATTATTCTAATTTATAAGAAATTGAATAAGATCGCATCTTTTATACACGTTTGTTAATATTCAATTGTCTTTCCAATATTTTTACCTTTTTACTTGAAATCTTTCTCTTCCAAAAAAAAAAAACAAAATTTTTCGCTATAAGATCACATCACTTTCTCTTCAAAAGAAACAATATTTTTCGCTATCAGATCATACCACTTTCATAAGGTTATACGTTTAGCATCTGAGTTGATGCAAAATATAGCCATGCTACATTCCTGGGTATATCATAATGCAGAACTACTATACAATTTCGGGGTCTATTTTACATAAGCTTGTTCTAAAGAGTTAGGACACAATAAAAGAAATAAGGAATTAGGAATAAAGAAAGAACGATTTTAACCTATTAGAAATCGGATGCATCGGAATATATGGTTTCTGATAGGTTAAAATCGTTTATTCTTTATTTCTAATTCGTTATTCTTCTATTGTGCGCCTTAGTAGTCTAATAGCATCAGAAAGAAACATGAGAGAGGACATAATAACGGCCCAAAACCTATACATATAGCACGATTATAAACCAAATATCGATTTATCATCTTCAGCCTTAAAAAATGGACGATGTACCCTAAGAAAAGTGGATGTTGATATGTAGTTCACATCCGCTTTGTCAGAGGGCAGTAATGCGCGGCAACATTTTACAATTACAGGCCATTATGTCCTCTCTCAGGTTTCTCTCCGATAGTATATATAGAGTATGTTCGGGGAGAGACACTATCAACGCTATCAATGCTATCAACGCAAATGTTACTAACGCTGTTCAATAGCGCGATAGTGATAGTGAGTTCCATGAACGATTTTTAGCGTTCACGACGTAGCACTGATAGCGTTGATAGCATCTCCCCGAACGTACCTGCTCTTCTTCGATATAAATAATTTTTTATTCCAAGGTAATCTTCTTTTTCTTTGAAATTATACTGTACGGTATAAAATAAAATTATGTTATCTGAGAGTATGTTTAAAAAGTGGCTTGATAAAAATAGCGTAATTTATTAATATCTGTATTTTAATGTATAAAAATCATAAAAATGGCGGGAACGGAACAGACAGGAAACCACAGGAAACTGAAATGGCAAAAAACAATTCACTACTTTCATTACTACTAGCGTTCATGAAACTCATAAACGCTAAAGCTACTCATGTACTACCTCAGAGGCAAGAGCGTTGGTAATGCAAGTTATGGCGGCAAACACTATCGACAATGACGTCACGGATGGCGTTCGTAGCGTTGGTAGGGAGCTTTCCGAACAACATTAGCGTTCGATAACGTTAGTAGCGAACTCCCCAAACGTACCCATAGAAGTCTGTGTTAAGATCATGGACGTACGAATATCTGAACGAAACGTAAAGCTAGCTTACGAGTGAGAGGACCAAAATCCCCGCGGTGGAGGGGGGGGGGGCCATCCTGTCTGGCGACATTTTAGCGCTCTATTTGAAAATTGATATATGTATTATAATATTATTTGTATTCCCAGTGCATAAAAATAGGATTTTGTGTGAGACAAAGTTAATTCAACGGTTGTGTGCAATTAAAAATAAATTTCTGTTTATATTAAAAGAAGTAATAAATATATATACCCATTACTTCTTTTAACACACACACATAAACCGAAAATTATTTTCAATTACACACAGCCGTTAAATATTTACAAATCAAGTAATTAAAAAAGAGGCTATAAGCCAAGTTATTTTAATGCTAAACCAGAAATAATATAAATCTAAATTTTATATTGGGTGTGTGAATATGACTCCCTTTCCAATAGGTTCGCTAGTGTCACTGCTTACGCGTGTACATTAAAATGTCAACACTTGTATTCGATAGTACTTTGTGTCAGCTGTCAAACACAGTGTGTGACATACGGTTGAAACGTAAACAACAAGTATTTTTATCGCATTGAAAATGTCGGGTTTTATTCCAAATAAACATCATTTGCGGGAAGTTTTTTATTGCAAGGAAAAGTGCAGCGGAAACTTATCATTTGCTTGTGGATATTTACGGTGAGCATGCTTCATCAAATACAACTTGCAAAGAATGGTTTCGACGGTTTAAAAACGATGATTTTGACATTGAGGAAAGAACATGGAAAACCACCCAAAAAATTTGGAGACGCTGAATTGGAAGAATCATTGGCTGAAGATTGTCAAACACAATCAGAATTGGCAGCAACATTAAATGTCGATCGATCAACTGTTGCAAAACGTTTGCGAGCAATAGGAATGATTCAAAAAGCTAGTAACTGGGTTCCACATGAATTAAAAGACAGAGACATCGAACGTCGAAAAACCATTTGTGAAATGTTGCTTCAAAGACAAGAAAGAAAAGGTTTTTTGCATCGAATAATTACTGGAGATGAAAAATGGATATATTATGAGAATCCAAAACGCAAAAAAGCCTGGGTGAAGTGAGACGAAGCCGGCCCATTACAGCCAAAGAAAAATATTCATTGTACCAAGGTTATGTTCTGTATTTGGAATCAGAAGGTGTTGTGCACTATGAGTTGCTGAAACCGTCTGATACTATCACTAGCGATGTTTACCAACGACAACTAATGCGTTTGAAGGTAGCTATAGAAGAAAAACGACCAGAATGGGTGAATAGGCATAGCAAATTAATTTTTCAACATGACAACGCCAGACCGCATACTGCAAAAGTCGTGAAAACATATTTAAATGGATAGGACTGGGAAGTGGTATCCCACCCGCTATATTCGCCAGACATAGCTCCTTCAGATTACTACTTATTCCGGACGATGCAGTCAGATCTTACAGGAGAGCGATTTACTTCTTACGAAAGCATCAAAATTTGGCTTGATAATTGGATTGCCTCAAAAGACCAGGACTTGTTCATGCAAGGAATCCGTAAATTGCTTGAAAGATGAGCGAAGGTTGTAGCTGCAGATGGAGCATACTTTGAATAAATAATTATTTCATTTTCTAAATAAGCAAATGTATTTTATTTTCACAAAAAAGGGCGGAGTCATATTCACACACCCAATATAATTAAATAAAATCATAATTAACGTTACAAAGAACCGGTAATTGCAAGTAGTAACAGTTAAGCATAAAATCCTAATAAAATCCAAAATTATATTAAATATTATTAATACAAAATATATAATACTACCTCGAATTTTATATTAATAATATTTTATTGCATATACTGTGCTATTATTCCTTTTCATGCGCAACAAATACAGTAGAAGCAATTATGAAAAATTTGCTGTGTTATATTGTAAATTTACCATATTGTAAAGTGTACACAGTAGAGCTATGATAAGACAGGCTCTTAAATTTGAATTTCTGTTGAGCTCCTAATACGTCCGCCATATTCCTAAGTGTACAAACCGACACGTATGCACTAAAAATTGCAGACCACAAAAAAATTCACTGTCACTACTGGGTATGATTAGGGTGATATTTCATTCGTGCGTTTTTGTCGTATAACAAATTTTTCGAGCTTGTTGATTGACTATGGGATAGAGAGATCTGACGATCTCTCTATTCTGTACATATTTGTCGTACGACAAAAATGCACAAATGAAATAGCACCTTTATACTGTGTCCATTCGGTAAATTTAGATCATGTGACCAGCAGATAAAAAAGCAGAGGATATGCGCTATCTACTGCATAAACGAATGCACCCAATATCTCTTTAGTTTCACCGGAAGCCAATTTCGTAAATATTCTGAGATACGAGATGGTAGCTCTGACACTTTTACTTGAGCACAGCTGTGAAGTTTGTAATTTATAGTCACGGATGATATTATTGGAATTAAGAATGCTCACACATTAGATTCCATTACACAGCAGTTATGTGCTACGATGGTTGCACATAGCTTTTTGCATGTAAACAGTGCGTACAATCCACATTGTATTTTATCGCTGCAGCTTTGCTTGGTAGTTACATGGCCTTCAATTTTCTTACTACTATCATATCTGACTATTATCATATCTGAAAATATTTTTTTCTCTGGATTCTGTTCTCTACCAACCTTTTTTTCCATTACTTTGCATAGCACATTAGGTAACATGTAACCTGCTAAATATAATCATAAATTACAAACTATACAGCTGTGCTCAGGTAAAAGTGTCAGAGCCAGTATCTCGAATCTCAGAATATTTACAAAACTGACTTCCGATGAAGGAGATATTACAATCATTTTTGTTCAAGCAGATGCTACTTTTCTCAAAAAGCCTCCTCATCAAACGCTCACTCTCTCCTTAAATTTTCTAATTGCTGATTAACTATGGCTGTAACGGTTGCTACTCTCTTCTCTAACAGCTATCTTTCAGCTTTTCTACAATTATTTTTCTACATAATATATGAGAGAATTTACGTTATCTGCAGTGATCAGTCCTTGTACTAGTATTCTGAGCGTTCTTATTGAAAACAATCGCTCTAATTTGCTTGATGAAGATATCTTGCAACAGTTTATTGTAAGCTAGGAATTTTTAACAAAGAGAATTATAACTGAGTAGCTTATTTGTACTTCTAAAATATCATTTCTTAACCTTCCCTGAAAAATTTCGCTGAAGTTATTTCACATTTTGGAAAATTTTTCAGCAAAATTTCAGCATTTTAGAAAATTTTCAGTTTAATTTTTCAGTGATTTTTAAATTTCATTTTTTATCAAAATTTCAGAGAAATTTCAACAAAAATTTCAGAAAAATTTCCATTCAAACAATTTTTTAATATGTTAGCTAAAAATTCACTTTCAGTGAAATGTTAGTACATTTTCAGCACAATTCCGTTGAAATGTTTCAAAACGTAGAATAATTTCAGCAAAATCGTTTTACCAGAGTTATTATAAATATTTTGATTCTTTACCTCATGATTCTTACCTCACACTTTCTTAAAAAAATATATTTTCTAAATTTTTGATCGATTACATTTGATTACATTTTGTAACCTCACCACGTTTTTATTTTATTCTCACACTTCCCGCTCAGTCACGAACAGTCACGAAGAACTGAATTTGATGATTAGCCACTAGCACTGAAATTTGAGTTTGGAGATTCAAGATTGAAATCCGAGTTTAGACATTGGAGACCAGGGTATCAATCATGAAACTTTAACCCTAGGATGGAAAGTAAAGAGTGAAAATTTTCTCCATTAATTTCAATGGCCAAAATTTTTACTTTTCACTTTCTATCCTAGAGATAAAGTTTTATGATTGATATCCTGACTTGAAGAAGGATTATGAATTCGGGCCTAAGTTCATAAGTTTGTTGTTACGTCCCGAGTGAGATCGCTGAGCTAAGGTGAAATAGCACGGATAAGCGATATGTCCCGGCAAATTCAAATTAGAATTACAATTATTATATTTAGTTAAAGATGATGAAAAGGAGTCCGTAGGCCGAGCGGAAACTTACGGTCTCTCGATAATAATTGAAGCTTAAGTAATTTAGTTAATGTTGACTCGATGTTAACGTAATAGTCAAAATATGAAAGTTAAAGTAACGTTGGTTAACGAAGTGGCAACATACTTTTAATTTATCGAAATGATAGATGAAACTAATCAAGAAAATGATTAAGGGGAAAGGAGGTATCGCTCTTGATACAATTTATTAAAGCAAATTAAAATAGCTGTAAGGTGAAATAATTATTATATTAAATAAGTCCAATAATAATATGACGGAACGTGAAATGACAGTATGTGAAAAAAAATATATAAATTGTATATATTAGGTGTACAAAAAAGTTCTGAGCTTTAGATTTGATACAACCGAAATAACAATTTAAATTTTATATATCTTCCCGCCCTTTTGGGGTTTTAAAACAGTAACATTTAACCTCCTGAAATGCGATACGGTTTGGCGTTTGATGCACATAACCTCAAAAATCAGTAGTGTTCACGATGGCAATTACAAAAGAGCATATTCGATTTTCCATCCACTTCGCGTTTCATCTGAAGAAAAATGCTGCTGAAGCCACTGAAATGATTTGTGCTGCATATGGAGAGAACGCTGTAAGTCATGCAACGTGCAAAAGGTGGTATCAAAAGTTTCGCCAAGGAGATTTCAGTCTTAAAGATGAATCGCGTGCTGGACGCCCTGAAAAGATTGAAACGGACGAATTGCAAGCACTGCTGGATATAAACTCTGCGCAAACTGAAAAGGAGCTTGCAGAACAGCTTGGCGTTACGCAGCAAGCCATTTCAGTACGATTACATACGATTACATACGAATTTTACAAAAAAAAGCTCAGGACTTTTTGTACACCTAATATTTATTTAATAGTGGATAGTTAACATGGGCTATGATAATTGAGCATTATAAAAAGATTTAGCTGACACATTAAATGAATATAATAAAATAATTCATCTCGATTTACAATCTGATATAATTGGAATAGTAAACATAATGCAGTAATGTGTAGACGTAGTAATATAATTCAAGGAAATTCTGAAATATCTGAATGTTTTAAAACTGAAATCTATTCTCAATTTAATATTCAAATATTGGATGAAGGAAAGAGTTGTAGATTACTAAAAATAAAATGCATATATGTACGAGGTCTGGCTATTAAATAACGAGACTGCGCGCGCAGAAGGCGTCCTAGAGGGGTAGGGTGGGAAACGAATGCAGCGTTGGATAGTTGGAAGTGTCTACTATTCCAGTACGAAAACACGTTTTTGTCGCAGTAGTAGTACTTTTTCTATAGAGGTTAGAAACGAACTCGTTTTTTTCTCGTGCCGATAACAATGTGTGACGAAAAACATGAGCAACGGATCAATGTGAAATTTCTCGTTAAATTAAAAAAAACTCCGACTGAGTACTATAAGTTGTTGAAAGAGGCCTATGGTGAGAATTCTCTATCTCGTGCACGTGTTTTCGAATGGTATAAACGGTTTTCTGAAGGCCGAGAGAGCACCGAAGATGACCAACGTTCAGATCGATCTGTCTCTGTTTCAACTCCGCAAACAGTGACCAAAATCAATGAAATTGTGCGCGAAGATCGTCGTATGAGCATTCGGATGATTGCTGAGACTGTAAATGCCGATAAAGAAACTGTCAGAAAAATTTTACATGAATTAAACATGAAGAAAGTCTGTGCGAAGTTGGTCCCAAAAAATTTGACCCCTGACCAAAAGCTCGTCCGTCAACAGATCTGCTCAGATTTTCTTGAGAGGTTAGATGAAGAGCCTGAATTGATGGAAAACATCATCAC